CATTGAAAGTTATGCAAAATCTTAAGATTGCAATATGTGATGGACTGAATATGACTCTCAGCTACTACCACATTAAATTTTAGCTATAAAATTGATTGAGTTGAAGTTTTTATTTTTATTTTTTTTTTTGTGCTAGATTTTGTTCGGGTGCATTTAAACTTTTGGCTAGGTTTGCACAATATATCACAAATATATTGTTATTGCAATATCTGTGTTAATATCGCAAAAAACTGCTTGGAGTGCAATAATTGTTGACTAATGTATTTGAAGAGTTTTGCAGTTTTACTTTTCACGCTAAWGCAATATTTAGCCAGTAGGACAGACATTGCCACAAATGCTAAAGGTCACGAGTAGGAAGTACAGATTAGAAACGGAGGAAAGGAAAAACACATACAATTGCACCTGATTTCAACATCACAATATTTACAATTGTTATTGCCACTGCAAGATTTTCTTATATCCTCCAGCCCTAATATTGACTCCAAAAGTTAAAGAGTTGTTTATGTACATCCAATGATTATATCCTGAAAGTTTCATTAAAATCTCTGCTGTGGTTCATGAGATATTTTGCTGACAGAAAAACTGGATTGACTCCAACAGTTCATGCAGTTTTACATAATATTTATGAGGAGCCTTTAGAGTTTGTGCTATGAAGGACTCTCAGCTACAACAACAAACCGTATTTAGCACAGTACTTGTAAACTTGACAAACTTACAGAAAATTTTGTTTTCTGAGATTAGTTGACGCAACCATCTTGAATTGAGTTGKTTTCAAAAGTTAGCAGTTGTAGACTTAAATCCTATAAAAATGTTTCTTGAGTCATTTCTTCAATAGACAATGGAACACACAATTTTCAATTGACAAAGCGAGCACCAGATAATGGCAACTTTTCAAAACAGAGATTCTATGCAATTAGTCTTTAGAAAATATGTTTTGGCTCAGTCTCAGCTACAACCACGCATATTTTTTTTTAGCTCAACATCTTTAAAATTGACCAAGTTAAAGCCATTTTTTAATTTTTTAAAATTCAGTTGGCTGAGACAGGCAACATCAATCGAGCTGATTCCAAAAATTAATCGGCAGCAGATTTATGTTCAGTGATTAGATTCTGAAAGTTTCAATAAAATCCGTCTAGTCTTTCATGAGATATTTTGCTAACAGACATTAGGACAGGTGCACTGCAYAGGAACTGAACTTATTTTTCTTATTTTGTTTGGTTTAAGGAAGTAATTTTATTTGTCTTTTTAAATGACAGTTTGAACCGTTTAACCTCGATGTTCATGCTYATGGTTTAATTTTTAATATTATTAACTTTAATAATATTAAAAGTATAATTGGACAGAAACTGAACTGGCTTCCTACAGCTCCAGTGATTTCCAATAAAACACATTGCCCTTTCTCTGTAGACACTGTCTGCAGCAAATGATGTAAACAATCAGAAAACTGGGACGATATTCCCCTCGGAATCCAAAATTCTGGCTTCCATCACCGGGAAAAGCCCACAGCCTGTTTGCCAGTGAAAAAACTCCGCGGGAAAACTCCCTGCTATCCCARGCGCGCACCGGAGCCACCGCCACGAGACCTGCCCCCCCTCCAAACACACACACCGGGTCGGGAAGCCCCATTAAAAAACGGCAATGGCTGTGACAGGGCATTCATGGGGCTTCCCGATATCTGTGTGCTGGCCCTCCTCCAAACGGCGACTTTTTTTTTTCACCTCTTGAAACTTGGTGTTTATTTCTCAACTTATCACATGCTGAGTTTCTGTGTCAGCTGTTTGAGAATGACAACGTGCCTGAGAAGCTCCGCTGAATGTCTGCCCACACACACACACACACACACACACACACACACACACACACACACACACACACNCACACACACACACACACACACACACACACACACACACACACACCACTTCCGCATAACATCCTTTCTTTCCCGCCGTCACCAGTGATCAAAACAGCGTGCCACTCTGCCTCAAGTGGCCGCCTAAATTACTACATCATTTCTCGTAAACGCTCCACTTCTCACAGCGGCGGCTGTTTATACTAAAGGGCTTGTCTCGTGCACCAGGCTGAAGAATGATCTTTGACATGCTAGTAAAAAAAAAAAAAAGCGCGTGCGTGACACAATTTGGCATATTTTAAAGGACACCTTTCCCCCTCAAAAGCACATATGCATACAAGATGTTATTTGCTTTACTAAAAAGACGTTTCCTTCGTGTTTTGTGCTTTAAAATATATTAAAAGCACAATTATGAGGTGGTTTGTGCAGACTCCAACTTATTAGGTAAATTTGAAATGTGTGAGGATTTTCCTGCAGAAATGTGGATATTKTCAACATTTGCAAGGTGCATTTATGTGACAGGTTGAGTCTTTATGCTCAGATGTRAGTGCAGCAATCCATTATGACATTGGTCTTAACTTCCTTATTGCCCTCAACGGCGTGATTTCTCGGAAACGGGTCTGCTGTAGCTGCAAGAGGCGCAGAGCGCTCACTGTAAAAAATATTTGCAAAGTAGTTAAGAAACATGTAAAAACAGGAGCAACTACTATATGCAAAAATTCAGTAATGAATGTGTTTTCTATATTCCACTTTGATATTTGTTGTGAAWAATGAGCTATTCTGTAGGCTATTATCCATGACAACCTTTATTATAATGATAATAATAATTATCATTATTTAGCTTTTATCATATGTCTGCAATCCACAAATAAAAGAAGYAAACTTCCCATACAACATGGATCAGTTTGCTAAAATAAACCCGACAARCCTGTCAATAAATAATCCCCCAGGTAACTGCAGCGCCTGTTTATTTATTAATTTTTCTTCCTGGGCGGATATTTCTTACAGTGTTGTACAGTGACGGGGAAAACCCAGTGTCTGCGCGATGAGCTTAAAAGCTGGGAGCACGCAATGAGCTGTCAGTGCTCTCTGCTCAGTTCAAGAAAGATATCCAAGAGGATACCTTACGGAACAGGAGAAGCCGCTTTGCTACAAACTCACAACTAGTTGGAATATTCTTTCGCATCTTTCTTTTCATCTCGGATAAAAGAAAAAAGCTCAATCTGTAAGTGAATTTGATCATTTTGACCACAAATGCGAATAATTTTTTAACCTTTTCATAGCTTTTTTAACTCTCGATGTTTACTTTTTAACTTAGAAGTGGCAGAGTTAGATTAACTTTACGACTATGCTTATTTTATTTTATTTTGATCTGTTTTACTGAATTAATTGAGTGACGAGGAAACCCTGCATCATATGAATCCAGATGCGCAAACATGTCTTAAACTATTTTGTTTTACTTTTTAAAATTTATGCTTTTTATTGAAATGCAAACTGAAATAATGTTTTGAAGTTTTGAAGTTGAGGAAAAACAGGTTGAGTCCATGGGTGTTTTATAGTCCGTTGGCATATGTTTTATGCAGCGTTGACTCCTACGCGCAAACGCCCCCTTTTTTCACGCGCCTTGCTCGTCCGGGTGAACTCCTCTTCACCCCCCGCCCCACGCGGCCAGTAGGCTGCYATAAATCTGAGCTGAGGCGGGGTTTCAGTTGCTCTCATTGCTGTATATCAAACACTGGATGGCCTCACTTCTAAAGTTTCCTTTGCCCTCCKATTGCTTCATATTTTAGGCAAACATGCCAGTGTCCAGGATGAGGATGAGGCCATGGCTGGAGAAGATGATCGACTCCAACTCCATCTCCGGCCTGAATTGGGTGGATAAGGTGAGATTGCAACGTTTTGAGTTCACTAGGATTTATTGTAAATGCATTAGGACTATCCAAATGTATGTTGTTTTTGGATGAGCGATCTAAGTGAAGTGACATCTTTCTTCAGCTATTTGCACGCTCAAGGAAGTTTCATGTTGCAGTTTTGCAGAGGAGAAACATGTTTAAGTGAGAATTTGGCACCAGAACTTATGTACAGACAAGGATTAATAACTTTGTTTATCTGAATTTGGCAGGAAACACATTGTGTTCAGCCAAAGTTCAAGTAGGACATTACTTAACAAGTTCAAACTTTTTTTCTCGTGTCTATTTTTTTATTTGGCCGCTGCGAATTTGCAACGCAAATCAAATGTTTACATATTTAAAAAAAATGCAACATGTTTAACTGTAGCTTATGAATTTTAAGAAAATTATTTCCCCCCCTCATATTCAAATATTTTCTATGGTGAGCGATCTTCTAACCCAATATTTCATTTTTTGTATATGTTACAGGAGAGGACAATGTTTTCGATTCCTTGGAAACATGCAGCTCGGCACGGTTGGGAATTAGACAAAGACGCATGTCTGTTCAAAGAATGGGCCATTCACACAGGTGAGCTGGCATGAATAGACAAGTCAGCACAGAATTATGGGGAAAAACTTGGCATATAAAAATTTACTAAACCACTGTGCTCATTTGCTCCCTGTAGGGAAATACAGTCCAGGACAGGCATGCGATCCCAAAACATGGAAAGCCAACTTTCGATGTGCAATGAACTCCCTGCCTGACATCGAGGAGGTGAAAGACCGGAGCGTCAACAAAGGTCACCAAGCCATGCGCGTCTTCAAGATGCTGCCTTCTGCTCCTAAAGGTAGAGGTGAGACACTGTGCAACATCTGCTTACTACAAATGTTTCTACACTGTAAGAACCTCAAGTGATACGAATGTGTTTCTTCCCCCTGCACAGACAAACGAAGCAAGGCGAGGGAAACAAAGTCAAGGAAGAAGGTAAATGTCGTAGATGTGATTTTAGATTTATTCGAATCATGCCACGTTCACACTGGCAATGATGAAGTTGCATGTAAATAGTATAGGAGGGAAATACAGTATGTATTACATTTAGCTTGCATTTGCTTATGTTTTGCTTTAGAAAACCCGCTGAAAAGTCTCTTTTTATTTGTTTCTGCAGAGCCAACCAATCAAGATAAAGGAAGACTCAGACTACAGTGACACCGTGTCACCCATGAATGCCTCCCTGCCGGAGGAAACCATGTCCACTCAAGAAAACAGAGTTGACAGCACAGTGGAAATGGAACAGGAAGGTGAGCGTGAACAATTCCAAAAACTCTGAAGGAAAACGCCTAAATAAGCAGGTTTACCCAGAGATTCATTTGACATAATTTAAACAAGAGTACTTATTTTGTTTTTGCAGATTTCCCCTATGTGCCTCAATCAGATGTTCCTGATTGGTCCTTTTCGGTTGAGATTGGATCCGATGTTTTATCACCAAACTTTCCCCACAGATTCGAAGTGTCCCCTGACCACAGCCCTGGTAAGAAAACAACAGAAATGTCTTATATGTATTATATATACATAAAATAATAAACAAAAACTTGCTTRGATCAAATGAATGTGGGCATGTTGAACTCATCTCATTTTTTTCTCTCCCCTTGTTTCTTGGCTGTGATCTTCCAGGTTACGAATACACTCAAGACATCATTGAGGTGAGCAAAGCTTTCAGGTCTTATTAGGAACTGCATGCAGTTTTCATTGTCAGGAATACCCATGTTAGTCTTGCTCTGCCTGTTTGGCTTGTTTAATAGTAACCCAAAGAAAAAAAAAATAAGGCTAAAGAATACTTTGTGTCAAACAGATCCAGTTGGGTAAAATACTCAGTCTGGTGTCACTCTTACAGATTTGCCAGCAACTTGAGAAAGACTCACAATGGATGTACAATTCAGACGGCAGGGGGTTCCTGAGCAATGAAGCTTGCACGAGTCCAGGAAGCCAGTGGAGTGAATCTTCCTCAGGTAAATATTGTTTGTTGCCAGGTCAGATAGTTGAGTGAAACTGTTTATCAAAGCCAGTTCATTGCCAGTTTCCAGTTTATTTGTTTATGGTCTAGTTTGGTGGAAAAGTTCAGCAGCTAGCATAAATAAAATTAGCCCACATAATGAATACTTCTGTTCATCTTGACTCACTGTGGATCGTTCTGTTTTTTTTTTTTTGCAGTAGAAGAAGTAGACGACACACCACAGTACACAACTTTGGGCACAGACTTCACAAACTCCACAGACGACTTCTGGAACAGTTTGTGTCAACAGATCCCCCACCTGTAGTAAAGTCCCTACCACTGGAAAGGACAGTTCTTTGACTCTTTGGACTTTTGTWAAAGCTGTTCCTGACCTTCAATCCTCCCCAAACCCCTATCTGAGACCAAATGTCAAGTCAGAGTCTCTCTGGTCTTGACACATTAAGCTAAACCATCACACACTCTGGACTACTGTGATGTTATGAAGAGGCCACTGGAAGAACGCAGATGCTGCGCGTTGTCTATGTTTTTGACTGGTTCAAAGCATTTTTGGTGTTCACTCTTAGTTGTAATTGTACAAAAGGTATTTTTTTTGCTCAAACAGGGCATTAAAATGTTATCCACAACCAACAATAATCTGGAGGTATATCTACCTCAAGTTCAAATAGGCTGTCGTTGGTTGCAAATGCTAAACCCTAACCATTCTTGGTATCKTAGCATTTGTCAAGGAACTCGTGTTAAACAGGCAAGAAACTCATCATCATATTTGTTGTTTTCCGTTAAATTTACCAGTAAACATTRGGGGAGAAAAAGAGCAATAATGATTCCTTGCATCATAACTTTCTACAGTCTATCTACTTGTGGTGAAAGCACTTGTTTTGTGAGATATTTTTGTATATATTTGCTTGTGTGTTTTTTTTTATAAAATAAAAATACTTTTAAAATATACAGACTCTTTATTAATACAAGCAGACAGAAGTGTTTTATTATGATATGAAATAATACATCTTTTTCAGTTAATGTTTAAGTTTCAGTAAAACTTTTTTCTAAATATAGTCTAAAATAATACAAATTTTCTGGGTTTAAATCCCACAAACAACCAAGATTCTTAAAAGCATTTAAATGGACACTCATTTTTATTTTCAATAATATTGAAAGAGGAACTTCTTTTTTTGTTCTGCAAGTTACCTTTTTATTGACTAGTGGTGTATTGTTTGTCCCATCACATATTTTTTCTTCCTCATCTGGGGTTCCTCTTAAATCCCCAATACATTTGAGGAAATGATCTTTGCACAATATGCTGTCCTGAAAGCTGGCAATAAGCAGGAATTATAATAATAATAATATCCATACTTCCTTTTTCTTTACACAGTTCTGTACAGGGTATACCTCCAGGAGGTGGGGTAGACCCAGGACTGGTCCCAAGTCCATCACAGATCCACAACCATTGATATTCTCACTCACAACTTGGGACTATTTAGAGTTACCAGTTAACCGGTGCATGTTTTTGGTCTGTGGAGAAAATAAGTACCTGGAGAAAACCCACATGGGCAGATTCTATAAGAATGCTGATAGGTGTCAGGAATTTGCCTTTAATAATTGCACCTTACTTTACAGACATCTGCTTTGACTGAGATTACATTCCTTCTATTCACCTCATCTTTTCAAGTCTGTCCACGTGTCAGCTCCATTAATAACTTTGAAGATGTGTCTCAGTCACCGGCTTCATTGAAATATATGAGCCTGAATAGCAGAAAACAGTCTATTTGTTTTCTGTTTATAGGTTTAGAATTATTTTTCCACTCTGCTGTTGTCTTTGGTGTCTGTTCTCTACATGTTTATTGTTATTATTTCTATCATGTTTTTTCTTTGTCTTCCAGAAGAAGGTGCACCTGGACCAGTCCCTGACCAGTTCTTCTGTGTTTGTCTGTGTCTCTTTCCTRTCCCTCAACCAGCCGGTCGAGGCAGATAGCTGCCTTTCCTGAGCCTGGTTCTGCTGGAGGTTTCTTCCTGATTAGCAGGGAGTTTCTCCTCTCCACCGTTTGCTCAGGATGGGAGACTGTAATGAAGTGATTCAACGCAGCCTGCTGGTTTCTTCTTTAGATTGTTCTTTTTATGCACAGTGCCCTGAGACAACGTATGTTGTGACTTGGCACTATATAAATAAACTTGAACTTGAACTTGAATTACCAACAATGCAAAAAAAAATTAAAAATTGTGAGCACATGCTATTCAAACAAATTAGCCCTCCTGATGCCCTGAGTCCTCATAAGTCATTTTAGCCCAAGGGCATCAGGATGGCTAATCACCTGAGGCTTGAAATATTAGTTGGGTAAACATATTTCCACTGTCATGTGACTTCATGGGAGCCCATTTAAACTGTTGAATTTAAAGCAGAAGAAATGGCTGAAGTTTTTATATCTGGTTAAAAAGTAGATGTTTCTGTTCATAGTGAATATTTAGATTAGCTGTTCCCAAACTTTTGACCCACAAACTGACAGTGACCCTCATGACTCCAACTGTCTTATTTAAAGTATGCAAAAATTAGGATAAGAACAATGTAATAATAATGTAATAATGTTTTATGTATTGTCATCAATGCATGTTCCCATGCAATGATGAAATTTGTGCTTTGCATTTGACGCATCACACGTGAGATACAATACACCCAAGTGGAGCAGCAGGCAGCTATGTAAATTCCCGGGGAGCTTATGGATTAGGTGTCTTGCTCAAGGGTACCACAATATGTGGACTTGGCAGGGAATTGAACCTGTGACCTTCTGGTCCCAGACAGTTGTCCAACCACTATATTACAGCAGCCCGAACAATGAAATAAAGGCGTAATGATGATGATCATTGCAATTGCTTATGTTTTGCTTTAACTTTTTTCATGGATAAATCCATCCATCCATCCATCCATCCATCCATCCATCCATCCATCCATCCATCCATCCAT